ATGATGTATAAATCTCAATTTTGAAAAATTGACCCTTATGACTGGTTTTGTGGTCTAGGGTCACAAATATAAAACATTTCAAAGGGCCCTATATTTGACTTACTCATATGTCCAGAACAATACAGAAAATTAATATATTATTAATATATATATATATAATAATGGACTTTTAGAGCCCACTGTAGACATTTAGCAAACTATGAGAGAAATCCTGTACCTCTGGATACGAATGCTCTGGTCTTGATGGCCCTGTGTGGCGATCATGACATCAGCTTCATCCAGGACGAACACCTTGATCTTCCTGGGGCCGATGAATTGCTCTGGTCTTGATGGCCCTGTGTGGCGATCATGACATCAGCTTCATCCAGGACGAACACCTTGATCTTCCTGGGGTCGATGAATTTAAGCTTCTGGCACCAATCCAAAACAGTGCCAGGCGTGCCAATCACGATCTGTTCCTGTAATTTTGTTCCCCGCTCCACTGGACCAAACAACACACGACAACATGCACAATTACAAGCTACTCCTGTGTAATAAATACGTAGTTAGCCTTCGACAGTGACATCATGGGGTCAACAATTAAAAATCAAACATGTCGTAATATACACATTCCAGATATCATGTTACTAGAGAATTGTACAGAAAATCTTAACTCCTAAAATAAGAGCTTACATTTGTTTCCTCTGATGGCATACACCAGTTGGACTTCAGGGTAAAATTTGCCCATCTGTTCGATGACCTTGCCCGTCTGTAGGGCGAGCTCGTATGTGGGGGACACACACAGACACTGGACACAGAGAGTCAGAGCGACATTAACACTAAAACAGCTGAATTATTTCCATGCATTACATTCACTGCTTCTGATGCACTTCATACCTGAGGCCATTTGTTTTCAGGGTCCACGTGACTTAACATGGCCAGCACAAAGGCAGCCGTTTTACCCGTGCCTGACTGAGACTGAGCGATCAGATTCTGTGGACTGGACAGGAAAGGATATAATGTGTTCAAAACTCTGCTCTCGTTAACAGTCCCTCCAGTTATTCACAATTTAGTGATCATAATGTCACATTTTTTGGATCATTTGGATCCTGCATAATTCACCATTTAACCACAAAATAATTGCAAAAAAAAAAAAAAGCATTAAAAGTGTGACATTAGTCTGAAAAAGAAACATGAATGAGAAAAGGTACAGAAACATGCTTGATGCACAAGAACCCACTGTGGTGCAAACATGACTGACAGACAGCTGAAGCACACATAGAAAACCTTACAATCTTGATGTGTATCCATGCATTTTATCCTAAGCACTAGGTCATACAGCAGCCTAATACAGGTGCATCTCAATAAATTAGAATGTCGTGGAAAAGTTCATTTATTTCAGTAATTCAACTCAAATTGTGAAACTCGTGTATTAAATAAATTCAATGCACACAGACTGAAGTAGTTTAAAGGGGTCATATTATGCTTTTTTAAAGATCATTATTTTGTGTATTTGGTGTAACAGAATATGTTGACATGCTTTAATGTTCAAAAAA